GCTACACATGACTTGCACCAAGGAAGGGCGAAACCCTTTTGTTCCAAAGAGGAGCGGTCTATGATCCAATCGTTAGTTGGCAGACAACGATGTGCAATTTGCCACCGCAACGATGAGAATTTGGCTGGGCGTTGTCTGATTTTATTAAAAAAAAATATTTTTTAATTGGGTTTATATCTAAATTAAGGTGTCTAGCCCATCTTTCCCAGAGAATTGAAGAAATATTTACTCTTGGCCTCAGTAGATGATAGGCTGCTTTCACTGTTAGTGATTGTAACGATCTGGGTTGACCTTTCTTAGTAGTTTGCCATATCCACTCCGCAGGATCAAGCGGAAGTTCCGGAATGGGTATTTCCGGATGAAAGACTCTCCATCCTTTTATAGAGGAGATGAAGAGTACTCTCATTCGATACATATGTGTCAAGGGGAACATCTCAACTGGATCCGCAGGGGACTGAATCAAGAAAAGATCTCTATTTGTTTTGCACTTGCTTACCATAGCCCCTTGTGGTGACATATAGACCACCTGTCCTAAGACTTGGTGCCCATTAGTTTGGACCCCTACCACCCAATCCCCTTCCTTAAATCTGGGACCTCTCTTAAGGGCTGGTACCCAAGCTAAGGGTATCGAAAAAATCATCTGATCTAGATTTGTATTGAGATGATGAGCATAACGAAGGAGTGGCCTCAGCTGATCTCCCGTTTTCCAATCTTTCTTTCCTGAGTCCCATAAGTCTTTGATGCSTGTAACCCCTTTCTTAAMCCATTGACACCAYGGAGGGGRAGAACWGTTAAAAATGYACCCATTTAGGTCAGTGATCCATCTATTACCAAAAAGTGGTTGACGAAGGATCTCCTCATATCTAGTAGGAAAGGGTCTGTCTGGCAATGGTAGACGCCTCCATATTTTCAACAAGTTTACCCACAAATTATCTAAAACCATATCCCTCCTTGCTTCCTCCCTATATCCCTCTCCTCTTCCCCCTATCTTTGCCCTAGGGATAGTCCAAAAGTGATCTTCAATCCATGAGAGAGGATGTATATCCTCACTTGAGACTCGAGCAAGTCTACGTATATGTTCAAGAGCCATAACCTGCCAAGGTATTCCAATAGATATGATTAATTTTTTGACCCACTGTATGGCAAGTGCTTGGTACTGAAGATTTGGATCAAGGATTCCCAAACCTCCCCTAGCTTTAAGTTGAATCAAATATCTCCACACCACTCTGGGGATTACCTTATCCTGCTCATGATTACCCCTCCATAAAAAAACTGTGACCTGCCTGTGCAGGGTTTTAGTGCGTACATTACTTATAGACCACAGAGCAGACTTATACCATATAGAAGCCAAAATAACAGTATTAATGATGAAAGCTCTCCCAAATATAGAGGTGTGTTTGCTCTTCCATTGTTGCATTTTATCAATCGCCGGTCTCGACACCCAATCATCATGAGTCATAGGTTTCCCCACTGCCGTAAGAGAAACACCTAGGATGCGAATAGGGGCTTCTAGAGGTAACCATTTTACTCTGGGTTGTTCTGGAGGCCTATCCCCCGCGGAATGAATCCACCAGCCCTGAGTTTTATTACCCCAATTAACCACCATATCTGAGACATATGAAAATTTTTCCATCAAAGCTTGAATTTCTACCATATTATCATATGTTGCATCCATCATGACTGTRAGATCATCTGCAAACATRGAGCAAACTGGAATGGCTTCTTCTGGAATACCCGAGATACGTAGTCTYTGCAAATTACGATTCGTTCTRAGGTTAWCCCCTAATGCTTCCATAATAATTAAAAAAARGAATGGCGCCAARRGGTCTCCTTRTCTGACAGATCTTTGTAACTTAATTTCTGGAGAGATAAGCCCATTTACTTGAATTCTCGTCGTGGCATTGGAGTGAAGGATACGAACCCATTTCCTCAAATTGGGACCAAAGTTCATTTTAACCAGGCAAGCATCCAAAAAAAAACAATCTACGTGATCATGAGCTTTTTCAAAATCAATAAAAATAAAGGCTGCATTTTGTTTGGATTGTCTAGATAATTTAACCATTTCATTAATAAGGAGAATATTGTCTTGAATATGCCTACCATTAATAAATCTAGTTTGCGAAGGATGAATAATGTCAGCCATAACTGCAATCAAACGATTGGTCAGTGCTTTGGCTAACATTTTATACACAACAGACAATAAAGTGATCGGCCTATAATTCCTTATGTTCGTTTTATCTCCTTTTTTTATGCAGAAGCGTGAGGATACCCTGACCCACCATATCGCCCATCTGACCTGATTCCAATATTGAATCATAGAATTCCATGAGATCTGATGCAAGTAAAGGTCACATGGTTTCCCAGAATTCTTTTGGCAATCCATCTATACCTGGTGTTTTATCCTCATCCATTTGTAAAAGTGTTGTCCATATTTCATCACGAACTAATGGATGTTCTAGAAAATCTCTCTGTTCTTGAGAAAGAGCCTGTGTCATAGGTTGTAAGAAGTTAGTTATTGCAATGTTATCTTCCCTTCTTATTCCCGGATCCTTGGAGGAGGAAAATAGATTTTTGAAGAAGTCATAGGCGATCTTAAGACTTCCTGCCGAAGAAGAGGACAACACGGGATCAAACCCCCCTGGGTCTATAAGTCCTTCGATGAAAAATCATCGTGAACGCGATCGAGCAAGTGCAAAAAAGGAAGCATCCATTTGACCCTCTCTCGCAGACTTTTTTAGTTTGCCTCTAATTAAGTGTCCTTGCCAACGATGTTGAGCAAAGGATAACAATTGTTTCTTAAGATCCTGAATATCGACTGGATGAGGGAAGGTAGCAGGGTGATCTGTTCGTTCATAATTAAAAATTTGTTCTTGAATATTGATTTCTTGTAAATATTTGTTTTTAGCCTTCAGTTTCGAAAATTCATTACATTTTTTAGCGATAAATGTCAGTCCATTATTAAACCAATCCTCATACGACCCGTGTCTATTTCGAGTAGTGTGCCAAAACTCCCACACATCTTTTATGTATTGTTTAAATTGACCTTGTGTTAGCAAGGATGTATTTAGTTTATAAAATCCTCTCCCCTGATCTGTTTTTTTCCTAAAGGCCAAAAGGGCTACACACATTTTATGATCCGCTCCTGGCCATGGGTTCTGAGGGAAGATACCAGCCCATAATAGAGCTCTATCCAAATCCTCTGACATAAGGATCAAAACTATTCTGGAACGAGTGTGAAGTGGCGATCCGCTATTACAAATGCATGTGAATAGACGCTCCTGCGGAAAAATCCTTCTATAGGTATCAAATAAATGTTCCCCTTCGCATAAAGAGTTTATTATTATCTTGTCCACTTCTACATATGCTGGACAGGGAGAAGGTATCTTCCAACGATCCATCCACCTATCCGGGGCCGCATTAAAATTTCCTGCCATGATGACTGGAATCCCTTCCGGGAGTCGAGATCTGATTTCTTGAAAAAAAATAACCCTCTCTTGAACATCATTAGGGCCATATACATTAATCACACAAATTACTTCTAATTCAAGCATAATCATTGCTGAAACCCACCTGCCCTGAGCATTATCCGTAGTCCATTGTATGATTTCTGCCCTTGAGTCAGGTGGCACCCAAATGGCCACTCCTCCCGATCCACTGCGTGGGGCCGGAGAGTGGAGCTTAGTATGCGGCCAGGCTAGATTATGTGCTCTCATATGAATGTGAGACTCTGTGAGGTGAGTTTCTTGAATACAAATGAGATCCGGCCACGTACGTCCCCCTACTCCTTTTAATTGCTCTACCAGTGCTCGCCTCTTCTCCCGATCAGTCGTGGCCAGCCCATTCACATTCAAAGACCTGATGTCCAAATCCGCTATCTGTGTAGCTCGGTGCCATGCTGGATTCCTCCCATAAAAAGCTTGCAAGGCCTCCATTACTACCTNATTCAAAGACCTGATGTCCAAATCCGCTATCTGTGTAGCTCGGTGCCATGCTGGATTCCTCCCATAAAAAGCTTGCAAGGCCTCCATTACTACCTGCAGCGGAAATGCTCACCCCACTTGTCTTTTTGTGTCTATAGCCTAATCCAACTACCTTTCTCAAAATCCGAAGAGGAGAGAAGAATTCCTCTTCTTAATATTGAGCAGCAAAAGGACAACACATCTGCCACTGACCAGACTGAATTAGCCTTGATCTTGAGGCACTGCAGGTCAAGCAAAGTAGAGTGTGAAAACCATTTGAGGCCTGCATCTTTTTGGTCTTCAAATCGGACAAAAATGTCCCTCTTGGCCATTTGTGCCCTATCACCCACCTCTGTAAGGGTCGCTTGAGGTCCAGGATCATAATGCTTTGATAGAAAATCGTGTAGGTCCCTTTTGAAACTCCTGTCATTGACACTCAGATACTCCACATATGTAGTCCAACCCCTCAGAGTTATCCCCCCATACTGATCTTGCCCAATTGGGGACAGCCCCAATTCCCATTTCCCATTCCGCTTTCTGACCGGGAGTACCAGATTGCCTTTTGTTGTCTGTGATCTGACTGCCTTACCTTTTTCTAAAATATTCCTCAATTTCTGTCTTTTACCTGTTTCCTGTGAAACAGGTGACAGGTGTACAAGCCTCATATTCTGAGTGACGCTATCATCCCATCTTCTTCTTCTTCTTCTTCTTCTTCTTCTTCCCTTCTTTATTCTTCTTATTCCATTCTTTATTCTTCTTCTTCCTTTGTCTATGTTCAGGATTACCTGAGTGGACGAGGCAGAAGGGTGATGCTGCCACATCGGATGATGTGCGCAGTTCTCTTTCATTTGCACACAGTGTCCTCCACTAGAGTAAGGCCTCACACATTGTGCATTTACATCTACATGAAGTGAGTATTCTCTTTCCAAGCTCTTTCGTTCCAGTTGCAATTGAACGACATCATCTTTCTTTGTCTTATTGCACTTCGAAATAGCCAGGATCATAACAAAAGAGAAAAAAATTTGACAAGCTGTTACTTACCGAGGGAGCATCAATGGTGGTGTTGCAGAAGAGAATGTAGAAAACCGGATTTGCGTAGTTATCATTATCAAATGTGATATCCAAACCATACTGAAATAGCGCTGACTTGAGAAGCCCCTCCACAAGCTCCAGGTTGATTTTATCCTCCATGTGCAAGCCAGCCTCCATCTCCAGCAGCCATGCCATGACGAAACATTGAGGATCATCACCCGTACTCGGGAAGGTCACCGTAGTATATGGCAGTGTGCTATTGAATGAAAGTGGCGAGATTTTGCTGTTAGCCTTAACTTCCTCATCATAGGTGAAATTGGCAAAGGCACCTGAATTACAAAGAAAACATGACCAAAAAGAAGAAAACAAAAAAAAAAACAGCTTTATTCAATTGAAAAGCTGAAGCTTGGCTGGTGTTAGCAACCAGAAAGGCTGCTACCGTCTTCAGCCGAATAGAACGCCCGGTCATTTATAGCTGTATCTGGACTGAAAATTGCAATAAATATGGCTATAATGACCGGGCGTTCTATTCGGGTGAAGACGGTAGGCAGGGCTTCTCCTATCACCCCCCACTAGCATCCAGCCTGGATAAAAAGAAAAGGGAAAAAAAAGAAAAGAAAAGCTTGGGCGGTGTAACCTTGCTCATCCCGTTGGGCGGGGTGACCTTTTGGATATACTACAAATAAATATTTTGACCAAAAAAAAAGGATCTTTTGGACTGAATGTGGCTAGAAACTACCATCAGATACGTGCGTGAAAGTAAGAGAGTAAATATGCCCTTTCTTCCCTTCTGCTTCATTTACTTTTCAAGCAGGTGGCGTGCACAATCACAATCGGGAAAATTAAACGGTCATCGGACGTTTTCCAAGAAGAGATCAATGGGCCTGGCTTAGTTGGTACACCCATGAACTGTTGAGATTGAAACGGTATTCACCAATTCGTGGTAGTTGAGACAGATCCCAGGGCTCGATCCCTAGTTCCCCAACTTACCTGTGTACAGTATGGATGTCAACCCGTAGATTTGA